GAATTGATGAAAGACTTCATCAAATTATGTTCTCGAACAATCAGACTAGCTATGTGTAGTGTCTTCCTGCTCAACGCATCAACTACCACATTAGCTTTCCTTGGATGGTATTTCAACTCAAAGTTATAGTCCTTAAGCAATTCCATCCACCTTCTTTACCTTATGTTCAATTCCTTTTAATTCATTAAATACTTTAAGCTCTTGTGGTCACTAAACATACTAAGCACTAAACCATATAGGCAATGACATCAAATCTTTAGCGCAAAGACCACTGCTGCAAGTTCAAGGTCATGAGCTGGATAATTCTCTTCATGTGGCCTGAGTTGCCTTAATGCAAAAGCCACCACTCACCCATCTTGCATTAGCACACAATCCAAACCTCAGGGAAGCATCTGTATACACCTCGTACGGTAGTCTCGGATTTAGGATTATTAATATAGGTGCGGTAGTCAACTTCTCTTTCAGCTTCAAAATGTAGTCTTACACCTATCATGCCAAATAAAAGGTTGATCTTTTCAGGTCAACTTCATCAACGGAGATGAAATCTGAGAGAAACCTTAGATAAACCTTCAGTAATATCCAGTTAATTCTAGAAAACATTGAATCTCCATAACTAAACTAGGCCAATCCCATCTTAAAACAGCATCAACTTTATGCGGATCAACAGGAATCCTATTTGCTGATACCATATGGACTAGAAATCTGACTTCCCTCAGCCAAAACTCACACTTACTAACCTTGGCATATAGTTTGTTCTCTTTAAGAATCTAGAGGACAATCCGAAGATACTTGCCATGCTGTTCCTCATCTTCTAAATAAAACAGAATGTTATCGATAAAAACCACAACAAACTAGTCTAAATATGGTTCATGTAATCCATAAAAATTGCAGGTGCATTAGTCAGACTAAATGGCATGACAAAGAACTTGTAATGCCCATAGCGTGTACGAAAGGCTGTCTTAAGCACATCTTTCTCAGAGACCCTCAACTGATGATACCCTAACCTCAAGTCAATTTTGGAAAAGACTGAGGCTCCAGCCAACTGATCTAACAGATTATCAATCTTGGGCAAGGGGTACTTATTCTATACCATCACCTTATTCAACTACTAATAGTCAATGTGCAGTCACAAACTACTATCCTTCTTTCTTACAAATAATACCAGCGAACCCCAAGGCGACACGCTCAGCCTAATAAAACCCTTATTAAGCAAATCTTCAATCTGGTTCTTCAACTCATTTAGCTCTGAGGGTGACATCTGATAAGGGGCTTTAGAAATTAGTTCTATACCAGGAACCAAATCTATTGAGAATTTAACTTCTCTTTCTAGAGGTAATCCAAACATCTCTTTGAAAAATACTAGTGAACCATGTTAGTGTCACACCCTTGCTTAATCAACTTCTCAGATTGCACAACTAATAGAAATATTGGCAGCTCATTAGAACTAGTTCCTGCCAAAAACACTAGCAAAGACACTAGCTTCTTGGCATAGTCTAGCGTAACATTATTAGTTGTTAGCCAACCCATGCTAACTATCACATCAATCCCTTTCATGGGAATACAAATCAGATCTATCACAGACACCCAATCCTCAAATACAATTTTTACTTTCTGACATGCTCTGCTAGTAATACTTGAGGACCTAGAAGGTGTCGTTACTTTAATCAACATATGTAACTCTTTTAACCCTAATTTCAGTCTATCTACACATTATTTTGGGATGAAGGAATGTGTAGCTCCCAAATCAAACAATGCTTCTATTCTACTACTGCTGACAGAAATAATACCTTTGATCAAGTTCTGAGACACCCTAGCCTCTTCCTGAGTTACTGCAAATGCTCATCTCGAAATTGTCAACTGCTACTCTGTTGTCTCAATTCTACCCTCGGGGCAATACTTGGCATTATGGCCAGGCTTCCTACACTTGAAACAGAATGAATATCTCCCTATATGAAATCTACTATAGATACTGCACTAGGGTGACCTTCTAATGTTAAAGGTAGGAGCTGGTGTGTTTAAGGCTTGCCTTGAAGGTTGTGGAGGCCCAATTCTGACCCTAATACTCATCTGCATTAATCCTCTCTAAACTGATCGGGTATAGGAACCTCTACTAAAACTCCTCTTCCCAGAAGCTCCAGAATTGCTTGAGCTATACACGGACTTCTTTGATACACCTGCCGACAGACCTAGAGAAGGTGTAAATCTTCCCATACTATCCCTCTTCTTCTCAGCCTCTACTTTCCTGCCTCTCTTTGTAGCTATTCTCAACTTATAACACTTGTCTTTGTAAGTGGTGATATCGAATAGAGCAATTTGCTCCTGTACTTTGACACATCTTCTCTAGAAATTGCTCTACCTTTTACTTTGTGCTATTGTGATGCTGTAGGTACATGGAATAGGCGAACGGATAATTGAATTTATTGATGAATTCCTCTGCATCTAATTCCCTTACCTGAATGCGTGGAACTCTTCCTCTTTTTTAGTTCAAAAGGATGCTGGGAAGTAATAGTCGAAAAACACTCTCTTGAACTCTTCCCAAGTATATCTCATACCACCAGTTGGTCTTACTGAATTCTACCATCTCTTAGCTACTCTGACTAGTTGAACCATGGCTAAAGTCACTTTCTGCTCTGAAGTATAGGTTGCCACCTTGAATATTATCTCGAGGCACTCAATCCATTGCTTAGCTTCTCCTTCTCTCATACTGCCATCAAATATAGGTGGACTGAACCTCATATAAGTCTTCAAAGCTCGGTCGATAGATGGGTCATCAATAATTCCTATAGTCTACCTACTACTTGAAGCTTGAGGTGGCTCAGGTCTACTATGAGCTTCCTTTTATACTAACCTCTCTTGAGGTTATCTCTCTTTTGCGTGATCTCTTCCCCTCAACAATACATCATGACCTCGCACAGTCTGTCGAATATCGATCATCATATCCTTCAGCTCTTCTAATAAGCCATCTCTTCTATCAGCTTGTTGAGGCACATACAGTTGAACATCAGGCACAGGTTCATCCTCTACCTGACGTCTAGACACTCGAGTACTACGTGAAGCTTGAGTACCTCTTCTTCTCATTTTCTCCCCTTCTAAGGATAAAAGTAAGAAGAGGTAAGCAAAAAGGGAAAGAATAGGTGTAACGAACAAGATATAAGATGCCAAAGTCTAGGATAAATGCACAAACAAGCACATAACTAGATCTAAAACTCGAGAAACTGATACCAACTTCAATTGTAATGCCCTTAACCCACATTACTATATGCTCCATTATAATCAATTCTAATCAATTTAAAATCATTTACTTTGAAACTTGAAGACCTTGGGATCCTAATAAAATTTTTAGAAATCATTTCATAACTCATTTGAGTTATAAAACCTTAACACACAGTGGAACCCATGAGCATAAATATATCAAAGATCAAGAAAACATATGCAAATTAGGAAAACTAAAGTGAAATTTGGCACTGTATGCCATGGCTAGTGCCACATGCGCCGCGGCATATGGCACAGAGACCACAGCCATTTCACTCTGTGCCATGTGCCGCGACATGTGGGCACATGTGCCATAGCGCACACATTTGAAATTATTGTCATTTTTATAGTTTCTGAGGTAAATTTTAGATGTGTACCATTTCCATATACGATGTCCGATTGGGATGTTTCAAGTGTCCACATGAAGATTATTTTGAAATCTAACTAATGACACTGGTTTCATCTCAATCCGATATTTCTATCAAAAATTGGACAACCAAGTGTATTTAGTCCATTTTCTGCCAAAATTTTGTCACTTAAGTGTCTCAATTTGAAACCAATTGTTATTAGCCACTTTTTGGGCCTTGACCACGTCTGAATAGATAATACACACCTGATTGACCACACATCAATATATTATAGAAACCTATTCCAAAAGTACATCCTTATGAACAGTAACCGGGGGTAATGTGGGCATTTTTCAGAGATGGCATGCAAGGCTCCGCCCCTTCAGTTACTTCGATTCGAATGAAATTGGGAGCATTTTTGTCATTTATATTCTACGCTACATGACAGAAATTTTTTGTACTTTTAAATATGATGTGGCCATGTGATCTCTCTTATGTGAGAAGTATAAGAGAGAAGCATCTGATGCAGATTTTGAATGAATCTTTTATCCTCTGGTTCCTTCAATTATCTCTTGTCTAGAGCTAGCATCCCTTATGCTCTAATAACAATGGACGAAAGTGATATTGGTCTCTTCATGAAATCTCTGTACAAGTATTAATGCACTCTCATTTACCCATTCCCAAAAAAATAAAAAACTAGCGTCTCGACTGCCTTCTCCAAGTGAATATATTATAGAAATCTATTCCCCAAATGAATCCTCATGAACAGTAACTCAGGGTAATATTGGCATTTTAAAGACATGCAAAATATGGCTCCTTCACGGGTCTTGAAGAATATGAAGGAGGTTAGGGGCTTTTTTGGTTTTTCGTAAATGCTAGAGGACAAAAAGTTATTTCATAATCCTTAGAAAGGTGCACCCCTTTATTTGATAGTTACTCATAATTACCCCCTGGACAAAAGAAGAATAATTATTAAAGCTGTTTCCTATCTTTTTGACCAAGTGACCATGCTTTTGCTTCCTTCCTCCGAAAAAAATTAAATTTATTGATTTCCAAGACTGGTGACAATTAAAGCTATCAACACTGCTTATTCAACCAAAGCAAAATGTCCCTTTCTCTCAAAAACCCTACCAAGATGGAATAGACTCCACTGTCTATGCCTCACATTGTCGTTCACTCATATTCTTTAGAAATAGCTCCCAGTAAATTTCCCACTCTCCTTCCATGCTAGCACGCCATTCTCTTCAAACCCACCGGTTATACTCTAAATCGTTTGTCTTAGTAGCCACTCTGTCTGCTCCTCCTGGATCTTTACCTCCATTCGCCCATATCATCTCCACTGTTAGGTTTTTCAGCCATCTTTGTAGTTTTCTGATTCCATCTCAGTATGGCTTTATCTAATCCCATGGATTCAGATACACACCATTATGATATGCTCAATAGTCTTGATCTCACCAAGATCAGTTGGGGTATACTTGTGAAGGTAGACCATATTTATCCTTGCGTTGGTGACGAAGTTTATGAGCTTGATCTCGGTTACCCTAAGCATGCATGGTCCATCAACCTTATGGTATTTGATGCTCAGGTATTTTTACTTTAACCATTTATATTTGTATTCTCATAGATCGATTATACATTTAACTTTTCTTTCTTTCCTTAAAATATCTTAAGGGTACTCGAATGGAAGTGTTGATTAAGGGCCCTGAGATGCTGGCTTGGTTTAAGAACCGGTTTAAAGTTAATAAAACTTATGACATCACAAACCTATAAGTGAACCATGGAGGTCAACCTGTTCATAGGAAGTATCACATTTCATTGTTGCCGTGTTCTGAAATACGTGAACACTCCTCTAATTTCCTTGGCCACAACTTCAAGCTCTGTTTAGTTCATGAACTCAAGGCAAGTAATTTCCCTTCTTCCCGTCTAATCGGTGAGTAATTTTTCATTCCTTTTATGTTAGTATGTTTTATGTCATATAGTCATTAGTGGTCATATCACACTTATTAATTCGTCTTGTAGATGTTGCTGGTCTTTGTGTGCATGTTGGAGACCTTGAATGGGAGAACGTCGAAGATCATGATAACCTGTTGACAAGGAAGCTGTGGATAGTTCTGTAGGATATACAGTGAGATATATATTAGTTAGAATTAATATTTAATTTTTATTGTTGCCTAACATATTAAGAATTAAGAAATTATTAATATAAGTATTCATAGCTTCATTATCATCATTAGTGAGGACTTGTCTAGAACCTTCACTATATAAAGCAAGTTTTGGGACATTAATGAACCTTATATGATATAAAGCATGCCATGTTTTGCTTCACAGTTGATTTTCCTTTAATATAGGCTTACTTTTTTTTATAGAGGTTATCATGTCTTTTTACAATAAAGTTTATTACTTTAGCTTAAGTCCTGCACCCTCTATGATTTCTTTTGCAAAAATTAATTGATAATCATAATTTTTCTTATTCATTTATTTACCACAATACATTTCACAAACAATAATTGTAATTTATGCTTAATGATTTTATTCCACCTTATGCCTGAGATAGGTGGGACATGATTCCTTGTGTCTTACAAGGAGATTGTGCAGTGGATGCATGGACAACATACCAAGCATGCAAGGATCATGAAAGCCCACTTTATGTAGTCATCCAATATGCTATTTTGTTTAGAGGCCTCGGTAATATGATTATCCTCTTATATCCCTTTGATTGCACAAAGTTCTGTTACATTATTTGCTTGTGTTTGTCATAATGACCATTTTTATTCTTTTGCAGGGAGCAATCGTCTAGAAGAGTTCAAGAATGCTACTAAAGTCTATTGGTATACCGACCCTCTACACCCTGACCTTGCTGCCAGCAACTTAGCTATGTGAAGAGGATTTTATCTTTAGTCAAGACTTGTGTAGGTTATTAGTAGTTTTTACTTCTTTTATGTTTTTCATCTTTTATCTTTTTGTTATCTAGGTGTTTTGTATGGTTTAGACCAACATAGTGTCTCCACTAAGCATTGTAATTTTATTACATGGTATAGGCCATGTTATATATTAAGAGTAGATAATCAGTACTTTAGCCAATGGCTTGACTATTACCAATTCACTATTCTGAATTTATATAGTTGCTTATTGGTTTTACATAGATCTAATAAGTTTGCTGCACATTTATCTATAATTATAATTTGCATCAGATTTATTTTGTAAATGATTTTCAAAGATGATTGATTTATTTGTGCAGCCATCCTAATTAGTATAATGTTATCACTGATGATATGGCAGTGTTACACATTGTATTAGTCATCATGCATTTGTCTAGGATATTAATTTAATTAACTCTACAAGCATGTGATTTAGATTATTTCAGTTGCAAAATGGGTACCACATAAAAAAAGAAAACAGTATAACTTTTTCAATTTATGAATAAACACTTAATATGATTGGTCATGACAAATGTTGTAATCCTTTTTGCATGTGCATATGCATTTAAAATTTAGCTGTTTTGTATCACATGGTGTACATTCTTGCATCATATATCACTTAACCATCCTTATCATGTTTGAGTTTTATTTATATGGATTACCTTAGCTAGGGGCATTTCTGGTTTAACACACTTTATTAGTAAAAAGTGAGAAGCATCTGATGCAGATTTTGAATGAATCTTTTATCCTCTGGTTCCTTCAATTATCTCTTGTCTAAAGCTAGCATCCCTTATGCTCTAATAACAATGGACGAAAGTGATATTGGTCTCTTCATGAAATCTCTGTACAAGTATTAATGCACTCTCATTTACCCATTCCCAAAAAATAATTTCAAATTGCTCACAATTCAGGTATGTTCTGAGCTTGCTGGATTATTCAGATGGTTTTATTAATTATTTAATAAGTTAAATAGCAGCATTAAATGGTTACCACCCTCTTCTATTATACCAAATATTTTTTCTTCGTCTGACAAGGACTTGCCTATTAACTTATTTTGAACAGTTATTTCCTAACTTATCTTAGTTATTCTGATACAACAATTAAAATTGTTTAGAAACCTTGCAGTTACTTTATATAGAGTTTCTTTTCTGTAGTCTTACATATTTTTTTCCCATTGTAAATGAGTAATATTGAATGTTCACACATTTTTTCTCATAATAATTTCCATTGATGTGTTACACTTGGTTACCCAAAATCTTTATGTATTTTAATTGTTATGAATGAATAATATGCCTTTCCATTCACGTGTAATTTGCCATGCAGTTACTTTATATATAGTTGCTTTTGTGTAGTCTGACATCATTCTTTTCACAGTAAAGGAGTTTTATTACATTTTAACACATTTTACTTTTCAAAACACTTTCCATTCATATGTAAAACTTGAATACCGAAAAGCCACAATGTTTATTAATTCATATGAATTCTTCATCTACCAAGCTCTTTTACTCATGCTATTTTTTCAGTCAAGAAAAATTGTTGCCAGGTAACTTGTGTCATGATAGTGTTTTTCTTCTATATCTTAGTTAATCTAACAGCATGATGCTATTAACTTTTCTGTTACTTTTTCACTATACTCTCAACAGCTGTAAGGAAAAAAATAGGTACTCTAGGCATCCTGAATCTTTCTTTATTGGAATTACAAAAACCTATCACTATCATGATACATTCCTGGTTGTATGCTTGAGGCGTAATTACTCATGCTTTTACTTGTATTCTTATAGCACTTTCCATTCTTGTGTATATCTTAGGAACGATGAAGATTTTGTCTGATAGTAATATAAAGTTTGCTTTCAACATTGCAGCAACTTTTTTCTAACAACTTTAAACTTGCTATCACTTAATTACAATACTCTCTGTAATTGTTGAATAGAAAAAAACTCTGGATAATTATATAGGTCAACAATTAGGAACTATCTTTCTTTATTGGAATTATAACTTATTACTTTACTGTGATACTTTCCTGATTGTATGCACAAGTCATTCTTTTTCTTGCTTTCCCTTTCATTGTTATAACTATTTCCATTTCCTTGTATATCTTAGGAAGGAGGAAAATTTTTTCATTTACCCATTGAGGATTCATGATGGAATCTGATACATTATCTCTGCCTAGAATAAAAGGTGTGCTGCCACAATGTTTTTATACAGTTAATTTTTTTTCCAAAATGATCAATATTGCCATAGCAGAACCTTTTCCCCTGTTCTGTCAACTCATGTAAAGTTGCATTGCCCAAACATTTAATTTTAAACAAATTATCCTTAATTTTAAATAACTTCTTATTTCAGATATGTTAACATCGATTTTGAAACAGATCTGAATAGGACTTACCTGACAAGCTAACAAAGAACAATAATTTCCTTCCACACTATCCTTTATTATCTTTAATCTCCTAACATTGACAACTTCCATGATCATTTATTATCTAATTAACTACATCACAAAAGTTATTATTGTTGTTATCATAATTACTATGACTTACACTGATAATAAGTTTGTCTTACAAGAAAAATTATGACTCTTTATTATCTCTAATATGCCAACCAACAAAAATTCTATAGCTAGAACTTATAAATAACTGCATTCTTCCTCTAGCTAGAACACACATCTCCTTTCTCATCTACAACACTTGAAGTTTCATCCAGTCTCGCAACAATGGCGAGTGTTTCATCCATCAGTGACTTGAACAATAGTACTGATAGATGGAGGATCTTAGTTCGTGTGGACAGAAAATGGAATGTATATCATAAGACATCACCAAATGAACTTTTCTGTGTTACAATGGTGTCAGTTGACAAGGAGGTATGATTATTCAAAAGTATCATTTCTTACATTTATTGTCATTTATTCATCTCCTGTGATGGTAATCATCTAATATTCTCAGGGCAATAAAATTCAAGCAAGTGTGCTGCTAAAAAGCTTGCTTGATCAGTACAGGCAAACTCCTATTGAAGGAGAAACATATTTCATTGCAAACTTTGTCCTTTCATCAAATACCAATACATTTAGAGCCACCACTCACCCTTTCAAGATCAACTTCACACAGACAATATACATTTTGAGCTGCAAACATCCCTATCCACTGTTATCCATTTCTCTTATTAGCTGATATAATCAAGGTGGATGAGGGGAGTAGTATACCACATTTATTTAGTGCGTATCATTATTTATCTAGAAATACTTTTATATTATTAGACTTTATGTAATTTTATTATATTATTCTATTTTGAGTTACTCTTGAATATAATTATTTATGGCTTAAAGTTCATTTAATTCTTGATGTTTTCATGCCCATGCAGACGTGTATGGATTTGTCAAATCCATGGGACAACTTGAGGAATATTGCTGTGACCATGAAACAAAGCATAAACTGAGAATGGTCATTACCGATAATGAGTACATCCTTACAACCCTTAATCATTTTGTTTTTTCCTCTGTTTTTTAATTATTGAATTCATGGTATACTTAAATAAAATCAAAATGATTTATCATTGTTCTACCATTTTTTAGTGACAATGATGTAGAGTGTATTTTTTTTGACGAGTGCTCAACCAATGCTTTCATGGGTCAGCTGCAAATTACAGACAACCTACTTGTGGTTATTATTAACTATTGTAGAGTTGGATTTTTTGAGGAAGGTAAAACATTTTCTTTACCTTGCTAATTGTTAATACTGTTATATTATTGTTTACCGAGTAGTTGTTAAATTAGGCATAAACTTTATGATATTGATTGTCATAATTCAGTGATTAATTCAATATTCACATTCACAATTTTAAAGTCCTTGTACGATGATCACTAATGTTTCTCATTGATTAATCAACACCAGGACTGCCACAAATTTGTAGCTCTTTTAATGCTACCAGAGTATTGTATAATCCTCCAATTAAAGAAGTGAAAGATCTTATGCATAGGTGATTTCTGTTCTCATTTAACTTCATACACTTTCATCTGATATTTTATTAATTATTCATTAGTAGGCAACTATCCTTGTACGTCTAATAAAGTTGACATATTAAATCTCCATCTTTAATCTTTTCCTTTCATTTTTTCTAATGACTTGATTCATTTCTTTTTTAATTATAGGGCAAGGGACCAATCATCCCCAATCCTAACAGTAGGAACACAACCCTTGACACCTGCTTCTACTCAATCATCTGGATCAAGCATGATGCGCAATACATAGAAAATAGATATTGCCCAGATTCAGGACCAGGAAGTGGTAAGAAATTATTAAATAAGGAAGTCTGATTTTTACATTCACAATGGTTAAACACCACTAATAGTTTTTTTATTACAGAATTCCAGTTTCTTAATTCATGGCACAATTATGAAGCTAGACACTCGTCATGGATGGAATTACGATGGATGTACTAAATGTGCTATAAAGACCATTGAACAGAATGATTCTACTTATTGTCCCACCTGTAAAAAGAAACCCGATTCAGTTGAACCAAAGTAAATAAATTTCTTTATACTTGAATATTTATTGGACTATTTTCATTTCAGATAATAATATAATTTAATGATCTATTATTGAGTTTTATTTGTTTGCTTTATTCATTTTTCGTGAGTATTGAATCTAAGCTGTTGAGAAATGTATTTTCATTTCAATTACAATATTTATTTATTAACAATTATATCATTAAATTTAATCATGATACTCATATTTAATCATTAGAATAATGAATCAATGTTTACATAATCCTATAATCACAAATGCAATGACTTAAAACTGATAGGTTGAAGATTCACTATACTGTGGAAGACGAGACAGGAAAGGTTACTGTTGTATTTTGGGACAAGCTAGCTGTGCAGCTTCTTCATAAGACTGTAGCTGAACTGAAGGCCATTCTTCATGATGTAGATGTTTATAAGTTTTTCTCATTTATTTAAAACATACACTATTGCTTTATGATTTGGTTTTTGACTTTATGTAATTACAGGACAAACGCACATATGACTTTCCTGATGAATTGGACAACCTGATTGGCAAGAAAATGATTCTTAAGCTTAAGATTAATGCATACAACAAGAAGTATTCAAACTCAAGCATAAGTGTCACTCAATACACTGAATGTGGTGATTTAATTAACGAATTTACAGAAGCTAATGATGAGGTGATTGTATTTCCTATATTATTATATTGCAACTATACTATCATGGAATTTTTCTGATACATATCTTTTCTTAATAATGGCCAAAGCAGAATCTAAGGTGCGAGCAACGAGGCTATCAAGTCTTGCATGCTTTCTTAGTTTTGTTTTGCTCTTTATGATTATCTGTTGTTAATTTTAGAAGAATCATATAATATATTAGTATACTTTGACTAATGTAACTATGTTCTTTTATTGTTAAAGCAGGGCCAAGTGGAGGATAATTCAAAAGAGGTCATATTCCATTTATACCTATTATTGACAAATTTAAAATCTGTACATGTTTGGTGTATACAAATAATGCAATCATAACTTTGTTATTTTATTATAATTGTAGGTTAGTAACCAACATATGGATAAGCCTCAAAATGATGAGCCTGTTGAGAAGCACCAGCTATCTGTTCAGCAGGTTCCTCAGAACTATGTCGGACTAGAAGAGATAACAATTACTGAGTTAGTGAAGACACAACTTGAACCTGCAGTTGCACAAACCAAAGGCAAGAGGAAATGTGCTGCAAAGAAGTAACCAATTATGGATAATTCTATCAAGACTTACGACAACGTGCATTCATTAGGACCACATACAAAAAGTGTCAAGATAATCAAGTAGGAGAAAAATCTGTAGACTAATAGGAGTCACGTGTTGTAGGATTTTAAATCTAAGTTTTATGAGTGTTGTCTTAGTTAAGCAGTCCTTAGTGTTTCTTGAATTTATAGGTTTGTTTTTATTAATTAGTTGTTTGTGTGGCTTAACATTTTAGCTTTCTTTTATTGCAAATGCTATGTTTGGGAATGCTTACAGTTATTTCCATATGAACAAGTTATGTTGGTTATTTAAGTTTATCATGTATTTTGAGGCTTTATTTCAGTAATTCATAAGTAGACTTTTTAATGCTTTATTAAAGAGGCTAGCATCTATTATCATGTTAACTTTTGTAATCATTAGTTGGTTTGTGCTAAATGTCCATTTTATCGGTCCAGTGGACCACAAGAAGTAGTCATTGATGAAATAAGAAATACACAAAATAATTACTAAAAAATAGCTCAGCGTTAAAGAATTAGATATCATGCACTTAGATAGGATGCCCCATGTGATGTTAGCTAGATTTCATTTAATATTGGGCTGACCAATTGAGAGTCCATTGAAATACATCAAATAAATTATTAATATCATATAGAAGTTGCTTTATCATATAGAAACCTAACAGTGGCATATGGTTTTGAAATTGTAAAATTTTAATTTCTTTCCACATGCAACTTTCAAATTTATTAACCCAATAATAATATTTAATAACCTAAGAAAACTTTCAAGAAAATACTTTTTCTATAAAGCTGCAAGTAAACTTTTTTGACTGCCTTTGCACTATGGATGAATCTTAGATGCCTTGCACCATTCTCCATAAAAAATATATTTTAGTGTAACCTATTGCTTTTACCTTTTTCATGAATCTTGACTTGCACCTTTATTCCCACTGCCACAAGTTATGCTAAAAAGCAAACCAACATGTTGAAGTTGACATATCACTGTTATTAAACAAAATATTCAGCTTTATATTTGACCCTTTCCATTATCCGCACACTCTCGAGTTGCATCCATAGTGCTATAAGTTGATACTCATCTCTTCCATTTCATTTTATATACACCTACAATCAGTCCATAGCTTCCATTTTGGCCTCTTTGACATGTTGCCAAGGATAGTTATTTCTTGCGATGGGGAAAATGATTCATGCAGTCCAACTCCTCATCCTAACAGTAATGGTATGAGATCTCGTCTATTTCATGCTTTTATATACCATGAGAGATCATTATTCCATTCAATTTCCTAATCATCCTGTTATGACTTAGTGATGGGGAACTACACCTAAGAAACATAAATTTTCAGTAATTAACACTGTTGGAAGAACACGCCATATGAGAACTTCAGTCAATCTCTTCCAAACTTAAATAGCCAGCCTTGCAACAGTCAATCAAAGGACATAGTTTCTCAAAAAACATCTGGTGTAAACAGGCCAAAAAGGAGGAGAGTAGCTCTGGGTGACATAACAAATGTTACCACTAGCCTTTCATCAAAGTTCTTAGAGGACTCTGTTTCAAGTGACACTAATCAAAAATATCTATAGACTTTTCCTACTGCTTTCAATTCATTTCTTCATTACCTAACCTTGGTCCCATTTATTTGTAGATGTTTTCCAACGGAGAAGTGCCAGACTTCATGCAATTTTGAGTATAAACCAATCAAATGAGTCAACTATAGAGAAGAATGTTGCTCATAAAAATGTTAGTGAAAGTAAAGCAGGTCCAAAATCATCAGGTATTTACAAACCACAGTTGATAATCAAAGAAAAAATAGTTGATGATGATAGTAAATTTTTGTATTACTTGTTTAAAAAATAATGATAAAATAAATGCCAAATCAAATTGAATTTTAGATATTATCCAAAGTAAAACAAAAAATTAATGCTATTTGCTCCAAGATTTAGCCTTCATTGATGAACATAGATTGTACGTGGATGGTATATTTTATATTGATGAGCTATTTTAACTTTTAACTCCAATTCGGCCGAGCCACCGTAGATTTTAATTTTGAGTGGGAGACTAGCCTGTACATAGTGTCATTGTTCAGTTCTGCTCCAATTAGACTTTAGGCCTGTGCTTTTAATACTTTTTGGTCTAAGATTTAGCCTTTATCTTTGTCCAATATTCATTCTACACTCTTGGGCCTAATGACATCTTGGTTTATGTTGTCAAAAGTAGTTGACTTGCCTAAGCAACATCGTTGGTCCCTTCTTCGTGATGATCAATAAATTTTGGTTACTTCTACATAGTTATAATAGTTAATAAACTATATGGTTACCTCAACCCTTCTGTCTAATAGAAAGGGTTACCAATGTAATTTCCTTACTTGAATCTCTTTCCGCTTATTTACGCATCACACTAGAATCTACAAAAAATTGGCATCTAAATTCAATTTCACTATTGACAAAAAGTGCCAATTATTGCAATTAAACACCTAATCGATATCATTTCTACATTTCACACTTGGTGACGCGTATCACAATTGATTACCCCTCATTACAAGCTTTAACCCTTACTTAGCCAAAATTTCTCTCACTACTCTCTTTAGATTGGGGCAAATCATGTCTATAGTTTTAAAGCTTTATCGCTCTAACTTAAACCAGTCACAGAGAACTAGTTTAGTTTTGAAGAACCTTTCTATTACTAGAGGGTAAGAAATCAAGTCCTTAAACTTCTGAATTCAATTTGTTACTAGTTAAAACTAAGAGAAACTAGGGTAAAATCGGAGGTTAAGGCAGTAGGAGACTTACTTGATAAGTAATAGGTCGGAAACATCGCTCTTGCTCCCGAAAACTAAAGCCTTAGTAGAACCCCTTCTCTTCTCCATGCCAGAACCCTTTTTTGTTGTTCTTCGCTTCTATTTCACAAGTTGGACATGTCCCAATTAATTTGATTTTTACACTATGTGCTATAGCACATCTACCATCTACCACGACGTGTGGCATAGTGAGGGAAATCCTCACTATGCTCACATACTCTGGTTCGAGATTCTACTCTTTTACTCATATATGTTCATATAATATTCCAATGAATCAAAACAACACTTCACTATTCAAAACCTTAATCCTACATTAAATCACTAATTCCATCCTTGATCAGTCATTAATGCAGGATTAAAAATTTAGGATGTTACAGAAGATGTTGAGATGGAAAAACCACCACAAATATCCAAGGGAAATGGTAAAATGAAAATTTTAAAATTGGTGCAAGAGAAGAAAAAGGTAGATAAGGCCAAGGAAGGGTAACAAACTATGAGGAAACTTCCTTTTCCTCAAGCTCCAGTAATCAAGCATCATCTAAAAGGGGTTCATGATAAAGAGGTAATAGATTTCTTTAATAAAATTCATGTGAACATTCCTCTTCTTGATGTTGTGAAGATTTTTCCAAAATATGCAAAATTTCTCAAGGATTGTTGCACTAATAAGAGAAAATTTTCACCTAATACTAGGGTTCAATTACCCTCTTCTATTAGTATAATAATGAAAACACAATAACCAATCAAATGTTAAGATTCAGTTTCTTTTATCATACCATGCAAAATAGGAAATACCATGTTTTTTAGTGCTTTGATTGATCTTGAGGTGGCTATCAATGTCATGCCATTGTCCATTTATACTTCTTTAAAGCTTAATTGCATGTATAAAACCCTAATGATATACTAACTAGTAGATAGAACTTTAAGAAAACCACATTGTTTTTTTTTTGAAGATTTAAATGTTTGTGTGAAAGAATTGCTTTTCCTAATTGATTTTTATGTGTTGAATATGTCTAAACAAGGTAGTGGGATTGACATTCTTATCTTAGGTAGACCTTTCATGAGAACAACCCACACCTTAATTGATATGGAAAAAGGGTCATTAGTACTTAGATATGGTGATGAGCATGTAAATTTTAACATTTATGAAGCAATGAAACACCCGTTTGAGGACTATTCACCTTTAGGTGTAAATGCAATTAATGCTTTCCTGGATGATGATTATAAGAGATGTGCTTATTTCTTGATACATTATGATGTTGATCTCTCATCCATTATTACAACTTGTGTCCCCTATTATTGTATTGGTGATTTTAGTTATGATGCTTGTCTTCGAATTAAGAAATGCTTGCTTGTTGATAATGCCTCTCCTAATGCATCTTTTGATGATTTTGATTTGACTTTTTAGATGGATTTACTTGATCAAATGAAAAGTAGTTCTCTTTGTTTTATAGGTGACATGGCCGAAAGCTTATTTGCTCTAACAAGGCTTGAAGTTTTATGGATTCCCAAGCTTAAGGAGGGAAGTGTAGCATTGTAAAGTCCTTTCTCAATCCATACTTTATCATTCCTAATCACACAATCAACCAACACAAGGACAATAATATCAAAGTAATAGCCCTTTATTTGTTTTCAAATCATGGGATCCTGACTTCTTAAAATATATATTCAAATAAGAGGGCTAGTGGAAGTGCAAACACATTCATAAAACTCAACAAGACACAACATCTCAACCCTAAAAAAAGGCCATGCACTATGGCTTATACCATATGTGCAATGGCATGTGATATAGAGCAACGTGCTTTATTTTTGTTTATGTCATAAACTACGGCAGGGCATATTGTGTGCCACAGTGCATATGATAGCAATTTCTACTATCATATTATAACTCAAAAGACGAACTTTCACTGCGTGCCATTTTCATATCCAACGTCCAATTGGAGTGATTCAAGTGCCCACACAAAGCTTACAACATATATTAGCTAATGGAATAAGTTTAGATTTGATCTAATAGTTTGATCTAAAATTAAACACTCGGGTGTAAAAAGTCACTTTTTCTTTCAAAACTTACGTCCTAAGTATTCAATTCTTATTTCTTGTCCCATTAAACCACTTGCGGCTTTAAACCAAGTCTAAAAGGACTACATATACTTGATTGACACCTTATATCACATATATCACATCAATTTCCCAT